CGCTCGTGTGCTCGCTTCCGATTGTCATATTCAATGTATAAACTAGCAGACGACGCACTCCACACTAGCGACATCTAGACATCTGTCCGCCGCACTACCAAATTTGTGCGTTCGTTCGTGTGTTAACCATTTCATCCTGAGCTTTCCCGTCTTCTTGATGTTGGAGAAGGGAAGCCTGGGCAACGCCTGTGTAAAAAGTGTCGTACAGTTTCTTCTTCTTCTTCTTCTTCTTCTTCTTCTTCTTTTTCGTTCACAGCTGAGAAAGATTGATAAAAAAGAGAAAGAATGAATGAATGAATGAAGATATTAGAAGAGATATTCGTTTTAATTGATAAAAATATGAAGCCATACAAACACACACACGCGCGCACACACAATAAACAAGTTACCCTCTCAAATACATTTTTCATCTCTACATTTTCTCTCATAATTTCTCAACGTAATAATAAGAAATAACGTCCTTGTCGCCCATGGTAAGAACATCCCTTTACGCTGGTCTTGTAAACATTCACACACAAAAAGCTCCACCAGATGATCTTCACGGGGATCAGGAACGAAGGTAGCGTAGCGGAAGGAGAATAAATAGTATTTTCACATGTAGGAAAACCCCTGAGGTGATTCTCACAGGGATAAAGGGAACAACGTAAGAGTTTGAGGTGAAAGTTTTGGTCCAAACTTTTCACATGCATGAAGGTCTCTCGGAAACCCGGGTTGATGCAGGAATGATTTTTGTGTGTGTAATATTTCGGGATTTATTTTAAAGTGAAATTCTTTAATGAATATATATTATGCATTTATTTATTGGATCGTCTGTAGATTAGCCCCAAGTTTATATTTTAACCTGGTAATTGAACATCCTAACTTAGGGGGTCTAGGTTAGGTTAGGTTAGCGCGGTTAATTATCAGCTGAAATAAACTAGGGTATCTAATTCTCAGTCTATTTATTTATTTATTTATTTATTTATTTAATGGGAGTTGTCTGGAATAAATCATTATTTTTCATCCCGTCATTTGGGTGGAGTGTGTCTGTCTGTCTGTCTGTCTGTTTGCACCATAACTCTAGAAGAATAAGAAGCATAGTATTCAAACTAGGTTATATATCTTCACCATCACAACCGCCACAGTTAGTGTGATTTAGGGGGTCAAGGGGTCAGAGGTCAAGGGATCATGGGGTCAAGGGTTCAAGAGGTCGGGGGTTTATGGGTTCAGGGAGTCAATGGGTCAAGCTGTCAAGGTGTCAATGGATCAAGGGTCAGGTGGGTCAAGAGGTTAAGGGGTCATAGAACAGGGAATCAGGTGGGTCAAGGGGTCAACAGGTTAAGGGGTCAGGGGGTCATAGATCAGGGGATCAGGTAGGTCATGGTATCGGGGGTCAATGGGTCAAGAGGTTAAGGGGGTTAGGAGGTCATAGATCAGGGGATCAGGTGGGTCATGGGGTCAATGGGTCAAGAGGTTAAGGGGTCAGGGGGTCATAGATCAAGGGATCAGGTGGATCAGGGGGTCAATGGATCAGGGGTCATGAGGACAAGGGGTCATGGAGTCAAGGGGTCAAAAGGTTAGTGGGTCGAAAGTTCAGGGGACAGGAGGTCGGGGTCAAAGGGTCGAGGGGTAACGGGATTAGGGGTCAAGGGTCAACGTGTCAAGGGGTCAGAGGTCAAGGGGTCAGAAGGACAAGGGTCAAGGGGCCTAGGTGACAGGTTCACCTTCCGCAAGTGCAGTGTCGCTGAAGCTTGTGAGTCTATTGAAACTTACACACACACACTGTACGTCAACTTGTGTTAAGAAGTTCTGGTGAAGACGTATGTGGTGGGAAGCTGTCCAAGTGTTCTTCCTCATGTATGATCGGACAGACGGACGGACGGACGGACGGACGGACGGACGGACGGACAATCGTCACGTATCTCCTTCACTCATTTTCCTCTTCAATTGTTTTTGTTGTTTCTTTTCGTTTCTTTTATTCTCTCGTTTCCTGTATGTATGTTCTCCTCCTCCATGTTCTCTTCCTCCATGTTCTCCTCCTCCATGTTCTCCTCCATGTTCTCTTCCTCCATGTCCTCCTCCTCCATGTCCTCCTCCTCCATGTTCTCCTCCTCCATGTTCTCCTCCTCCATGTTCTCCTCCTCCATGTCCTCCTCCTCCTCCATGTCCTCCTCCTCCATGTTCTCCTCCTCCATGTCCTCCTCCTCCTTAGTATTGACAAAACAACATCAGGGAAAACAGGAACTCTGTCACCCTTGGCGTTCTTGCGGTAGGCGTGGATCCGTCTTGCTTGGCGTGGCATGGCGTGGGTGTGAAGCGGATGGGGGCGTGGCTGAATTAGGGGGAGGAAAGGGGAGGTTCCTTGTCCCTTTCACCTCTTGAGATGTGGGGATATATACAGTGGGTGAGGTTGAAGATGTGTCAGTTCTCAGATCACTTCTCTGTTTACCCATCAAGATGAAGGTTGAGAGATGTGTTGGTGGTACAGTTACACCCACAAAGGTCCTGTCGTCTCTCCTCCAGGAACTATAAACCCCAAGATTTAGACTCGTGAATCCTAAGTATTTACGGACAGATATAATGTTTACTGTTTCGGGTTCATGAATCTGAATGTCGGGGTTGGTAGAGGTGACAGGACCTTTGTGTGTGTGTGTGGTCAGAAGATTTGTGGTGTGTTAAGTTGTGTCTGTGACCTGCATGGGCAATGGGTGTATTGTGACTTAGGTTTATTTCTGGGTGTTGTGCACGTTTGTGGTTATAGCTGTTTGTGAATTATTAACACAACTATATATCCTGGTGCCTTTCAATAGATTTTTGAACCAGATTCGTCTACATCTTAAGTGTCATGGCGCTGTAGATCCACAGTGATTAGTATGATTGTTTGGAGAAAAGCAACGACAGTAAACCTTTCATGAAGCCAGACGTCACAAACCAACCAGACCTGACGTTGTTCGGGTAATTTTAGATAAGGTTCGGTCATATATAAATGTAAGGAATTAGTATATAGTTACCCGTCCTGTTCGTGGTATTTATTCAACACTGTACATGTTATGGATGGGTAATGTGACATTCTTCTCCTTGTCAGGTGTTCCTCCTCTTGGGTGCTATTATGGTGGTGGTGTGTGCCCGGCCCTCAGACACCCGAGCCCAGACATATCCAGAAGTAAGTTTACCCTTGAATTATTTACCTTAATTAACTTTACCTAATGGCTACCTACTAGAGGTGACCAAGCCGAGAGGAGGAAGCTAGTGGCCTACGGAGTATGTTTGATCCTTCCATTGTTCTTCAAAGTTTTGTCAAGGAACATTGTGAAGCCCAGTACTATTCTCGACCCTAAACGTGAAGAAGTATTTACTTATGTTCGTTCTGTGTGAAGTTGTGGCCCTTCACTCTGGTGGTGCGTGACATCACAAATGTTCGGGTTCATGTTTTCCATCACTCTCAGGATTGTGAATGTCTCTCTGATATCTGCCCTATTGTCTACTTGGGTAATCCAGATGACATAGTTCAGGGATCATCTTAGTCTCTCTGTGTTGTATCTTTTCTAGGGATGTTGAGTCTTTCTGGAGGTAGAGTTTCCTGGCCTGTGTACAGTAATACAGACTGGGACGTACGTGAGATCTGTATAGTTGAAGGATCATTTTCTTGTCTTTGTATTCGAAGGTACGCTTTATAAATTCCACATCTCGTTTTGCTTTCCTCAATGCTTCCCCCACTTGTTGCACCGCCTTCAGTGAATGATATATCACAACGCCAAGATCTTTCTCTTTATCGACAGTATCCAGTAAATTGTTATTAACAGAATAATTGTGATTTGGGCTGTTGTATCTTACGTGTAGGGTTTTACATTTCGGAATGTTGCGACATCGTCTTGATTTACTACCTTCCCAAATAAATAAATTAGTGTCATCCGCAGACTTGACAAAGTGGCTCGATATGCATTCATTTATGTCGTTTATGTAGATTACAAACAAGGTGGGTCCAAGGATACAGCCTTGTGGTACTCCACTGAGAACTTTTTTCCATTCAGAATGTACTCCATTTATTACCACCCTTTGTTACCTGTTCTTAAGTCAGTTTTTAATCCACGTCAACATCTTGCCTGTGATGTCATGTTCCATGGATGTTAGAGGCTAGTCGTGCATGTGGGACTTTGTCAAACACCTTAGAGAACCCATGTACGACATTGGTAAACAGTGGATGTGTTGTTCACAGATTATATCGGTTATATCTACATTACAATGACATCATAGTATAAACATCTATCGAGGAAACACGAAAGTTATTCTCACAAGAAAACAAATCTTAATTGCAATAATGTCGCTTTTTCATTTTCAGTTTTTTTTTTACGCATTTGTTTTTACGTCAAATTGATCGTTTTCTTACATATTGCTTTTGCAGTTAGACGAAAATCTTATCGAAATCGTCTATATTCTACAAACATATATCAGTATTTACAGTATATTGAACATTTACTTGAAATCCAAAAAATAAAAAATATATAAACTCATTAAACAACTTTCATAAACTTGTACCTACGAACTTTTCCTCAAAATCCTCCAACGAGAAAACACTCAAAACAAGTTTCAAAAGTTCCTCCACTTTCTTATAATCCCTTTAAATCCTCTACACAGGCCCCGGCAGCATACGAATACCAGTACGGTGTTCTCGACGACGAATCTGGCAACGACTTCGGCCACGAGGAATCACGGAACGACCAGGCTACGAGCGGTCGTTACTACGTCCTCCTCCCAGACGGTCGTGTCCAGACGGTCCTGTACTCTGTTAACGGCGAAGAAGGATTTGTCGCTGATGTATCCTACGCTCGCCGTCGCTGAGATGTCGCCCCTGTCGTCTGTGAGAGTTGGTGTTTGTGAGGGTTCGTTTCTAGGAGAATCCGAGTCCGTGAGGGTTGGTGAAAGCTGTGAAGATTCGGGTCTAAGGATGTCAGAGTTCTTGTCTGTGAGGTCTTTGGCTGTGTCTGTTAGGGTCCTTGGCTCTGGAGGTCTAGAAACAAGAATATCAACAGTTTACACACGGATAAACGGCACGGCTCACAGATCTCAACTATTTAGACACGGGTATTAACGGTACGGCACAAGAATATCAAGAGTTAAGACAAAAGTCAACAACGTAGCCACGAACACCCACAACATCGCCTTCAGTTCTGGATATCAACGATGCAGACACGAATATCACTGACTTAAGTAAACACAGGCCTCAATAGTGTGGCCTTGGGTGACGGATACAGACACCAATGAACACAGATGATAGCAGCAACAGGTACACCTCAAGATATACATTAGAATTGACCACAGAATTAGAATTAGAGCTAAAGGTACAAGTGTAAATTGAAAGAAAAATCGAAATTTCGAAGTTACCCTTAAATTGGTTGTTTAATGGTTTTAGGTAATGACAATTTTATTTAACTTTCTTCAGAAAAATGTTTTTTTTTTGTGAATCAATAAAAACTAGATTTTCCGAACTTATTTTTTCCAACTAATTTTCCATCATTTGCATTGTTATTTATCATGTCACCTTCAGTCTGTGAGTGAGGTGGGAATGAATCAGTTTTATTAGTTTCAGAACAGACTGACAAGGTTAATAAAATAGTTATCCTATTTGATATATTCATTTTCTATCGCAACAAGTTTTCTCTGAAGAGTTTCTGTCGGGGCTAACTGTTGTATATCCAAATTTTCTCAAATAAATCTTTACTAATGTAGTTCAGGGTTACTTAGGTTATTCATTTACATAATTACCTAATGGCCACACAGTAGACGTGGCCATGCCGAGGGAAGGAGGCCAGTGGGCTGTGTAGGATCCCTCCATTGTTGTTGATAATTTTGTCAAGGGCCATTGTGAAGCCCAGTGCTGTTGTTGACCCACACCTCGAGCTGGTAGACCGTCCATAGGTCTTCCAGCCTCTGTGTCAAGAAGTATTTCCTTATATTTGTTCTGTATGATAACTTGACCAGCTTGTAGTTATGTCCCCTCGTGTTGGTGGTGCGTGACATAACAGATACAGTAAATGTCTCGGTACAAAAGTTTCAGATTAACCCCCCTCCACCTCACCCGATTCAAGTTACCCCCGCGGTCGTAGGTTGAAAGTACCCCTCCAGTCTCCAATGGCTTCTGAAGATGTCTTGAATAAAGACGAAAGATAAGGTGCTCCGTTGTTTCCCTTTTCCCGTGTGATATTATCAAGATTTATCTTATCCACGTTTTGATTGTGGATCTACATGAAATATATATATATATATATATATATATATATATATATATATATATATATATATATATATATATATATATATATATTATATATATATATATATATGTATTGTATGTAAGTCCGCGTGCTTTATTGGGCTAATGAAATATATATATATATATATATATATATATATATATATATATATATATATATATATATATATATATATATATATATATATATATACATATATTAATATTATTATTATTATTATTATTATTATTTTTACAACTCATTAGCCGTTCGGGTGGTTGGTCTATCCAATGTTAGTACAGGACGAAACCGGGGACCTGGAAACCTGTGATGTTTGGTATTGAGGGTCACACTGGATAAATACCCTTCTCACGTGTGTCCGGGCCAAGGCTCGAACCCTTGACAAATAGGTGAGACACGCGTTAACGCTGTACCACCAACATCGATCAACATATAAAAATCATTATACGAGTAGAGGTCTGTGTTGACGTGTTTATATGTCGTGGGAATGTAAATGATTACTATAACACCACAATATGGACAATGTTGGAAGAAAACGGGGAGCGGGGCCGCTAAACCAACTTCAGTATATTTTAGTGGCTTGGGTTGCGCTAGTGTAATGTGCATACTATGTGAGGTCACCCAAAGCCTTTGCAACGGAGGGAAAACTGGAACCCACAAAGCAAGACCAGGCTACACTGTCTCTGTAGGGTTTGTATATATGCATATGTGTAGGCGTGACTGAAGCACATGTGGTATGACAGTGTGGGTTAAGTCTCAGTTATTTCGGGAAATCAAGAACCAAGCGGACTGTGAAGAGCTGCAGAAGGACCTCTGTGGGCTCCAAGAATGGTCGAAGAAATGGCTGCTGTGATTCAATGCCACTAAGTGTAAGAGGATGCACCTGGGGCGTGCCAACGGTAAGGAGGCGTATCATATGTCCCAACGGGATGAAGAAACTGCACTATTTGAGACTGAATGTGAGAAGGACCTAGGTGTGTATGTTAATAATGAGCTGAAGTTCTCGGGCCATTGCGTGAAGAAGGTAAATCAGGCAAATAAGTTATTGGGTCTTATAAGAAGGTCGTTCAGATATCTAGACGGTCCGTCCCTCGTAACGATCTTCAAGAGTGAAGTGCTTCCCCATCTGGAGTACTGTCATCCCGTCTGGTCCCCGAGATATGCTAGAGACTGTCAGTTGGTTGAAAATGTTCAAAGGAGGGCCACCAGACTGGCGCCTGCACTTCGGCACCTCAGCTACCCTGAGAGATTGGAGCACCTGAACTTGTCTAGCTTATACTACAGACGGGCAAGGGGAGACCTAATTGGGGTGTATAAGCATCTCATGGGACACTACTCAGTCGAGTGTCCTTACTTGGAGCTGGCGGACGCTCGCCACACAAGGGGTCACAGCTCAAGATTGAAGAAGCCAAAAGTCCAGAAAACTGTGAGGGCAAACTTTTTCGGTGTGAGAGTTGTGAACTCTTGGAACCATCTACCAGAAAGTGTTGTGACGGCACCAAGTGTGAGCTCTTTCAAGACAAGACTTGACCAACACTGGACCGGGTTCAGGTACAGTACATTCAGGAGTCGGTGCATGCCCAGTACTTGCCAACAGTGCATAACAGAGACGGGGCCGATCTCCCAAGCGGCTAACGAGCCGATCTTTCGGTGAAGAGGATAAAAAAAAGGAAAAGTAATCAGAGACGTGACCGATCGCCCAAACTGCTAACGAGCCGATCAGTGGTGAAGAGGATAAAAGTAAAGTATTTGCATGTGTCCAGGAGGACTATGCCCCTAAGCCCCTCCCCCACCCCCCCCCCCTGTCCCGGGCCTGAATAAGGGGGACAGAACTGAGAATAAAACCCATCAACCAGCAGCTGCACACCCTGGCCAGCAGAGTCTTGCAGAATATAGAACTCCTTCAAAGAATCCCACCAGATAACAACAACCATACATGGTTCCCAAAAAGTTACCAAATCTCAAAAGATCCATTACCACCCCCGATCTATACGGCCAGGCAATAGACAACCTCCCTAGACCAGCATCCGCCAGTAGGGTCGGCGGAATATGAAATAAGGCCCTCAAAACACCCATATATGGGACAGAGTAGGATATCTAGTGCCTGTACCGACAGACAATAACTAACCCATGACACAACCCTAACACACCATTAGCTTAGCTATACGGTCAGCCCGCCCTCTCTTACCTCCTCCTAAATTTCTTCAATTTCCGAACTATAACATCCTAACCCCCCACCTCTAATCTTCTTTCACCCCTCCTTTCTCTATAAAAAAACCCACTAGTTCCAGGTGTGAACATTCGACTGAGTGCTAATAAATTATAAACTTTTGTCAAGTTGCAGGCACCAGTTTGGTGGCCCTCCTTTGGACATTTTCTATCACCTGACAGTCTTTACCATATCTCGGGGACCAGACGGGGTGACAGTATTCCAGACGAGGAAGCACCTTCTTATAAGACCTACTAGTTTAGTCGCTTGATTCACCTTCTTTTTACAATGGCCCGAGAACTTCAGCTTGTTGTCAACATACACACCCAGGTCCTTTTCACATTCAGTCTCTATTAATGTTGTTTCCTCGTCCCATTGGAACATGCGATACTCCTCCTTACCGTTGGTACGCCCCAGGTGCAACCTCTTACACTTTGTGACATTGAATCTTAGCAGCCAGTTCTTCGACCATTCTTGAAACTGGCAGAGATCTTTCTGTTGCTCTTTACAGTCTGTTTGGTTTATAATTTCCCCAAATAACTTGACATCATCCGCAAACATTTGTTTTTAGGAATGTACAGCTTCTGGCATGTAATTTTATGTAACAAACAAACAAACAAACAACAGCGGGCCCAGTACACTGCCCTGTGGTACCCCGCTTGTCACGGATACACATTTCGATTTCGTGCTATTAATCACCACACACTGCTTGCAGTCATGAAAAAAGTCTCTTGTCTAGGCTCAGACAGTCCCCAGAATCCCGTACTCTTCCAGTATAATGTATTCAGCCTTTCATGAAACAAGCTGTCGAAAGCCTTGGCAAAGTTCATGTGTATATTGTCAATATTGCCATCACACTCAGAATCTGTGTCCAAACATTCAGTAACTGCTTCAAGCGGGAGCGTCCAGGAATGAAATCGTGTTGGCATTCCATTGCAAGGTTGTTTCGTAGTAAATTTCCATCACATTTACTTTATTCCATTCACTACTTGTCCTGTTAGCTGATTACACGATCTGTTACGTCTCTCATACACACTGATGGTTTTTTACATTTGTTTATGAGTTGTGTGACACATCATAAGCTGTGTGTCACATCATCAACTGTGACACAATCAGCTGTAACACATCATCAGCTATGACACATAATCAGCTGTGACACATCATCAGCTATGACACATAATCAGTTGTGACACATAATCAACTGTAGAACTTGGTTAGAGCATTTCTACATAACCAGCCAGGCCCTACACTATAGGATCCACAGGTTGGCCTTAGCACATTGTTCACTCACTTCTTGAGATAAACCCTAGAACGGTTTGATGAAAATGAACTCGGAGCAGAAGCTAATGATGGTGAGGCACCTAATGCTGATGAAAGGCTTTCTCCAAGAGACAAATGTTTAGTGAGATCCTTTATTCCCATAATGGATGCTCTTGAAATCAATGTGAAGACAAGGGCAGTCATATACTGTGGTGTTGTATAAACACTGACATTTTTAGTTAATTTAGAAGTATAAGAAGCAGTGTAAAGCTTGACTGAGAGTCCTGCTGATGATATATTTTACATGTCACAACACCACCACCATGACCTGAGAAACAGAAGGGTATATCGTTATAAACTGTGAAATGACAGAACGTTGAAATTATATAACTCTTTCTGAAACTCCCTGCATATAGCTATAGACGGGTCACATGAAGATTAGCTCCCCCAATTTATTTCACCTGGTGATTAAACAGTAAACACCCTTCTTCTAACCTAACCTAACTTAGTCTAATTTAACCTGTAACCTAACCAAAGCTATCCCAATCTAACATAACCTAACCAACTTCAATCTAACCAAATCTAAACTAACCTAAATCCGGAGGTAGTGTTTGGGTATTGAACCATTAGGTGAAATAAGCTAGGGGCCAATACTCACGTGATCCCTAAAGACTATACAGTAATGTCAATGATCATAAAGCGATATTGTTGTACGTTAGAATTAAGTGTGCATTGTGGGCTCGCTAGTTACTTAGGAATGTATCTGTATGTGGCAGTCACTTGTTGCAGCTTCAGTTTGTTGTACTCACATAACTTAACATCCATAACAAACACTACAGTTCCAGTTAGAGAACTTGGCGATTAACATGTCTTACTCGTGATTACTGAAATCATTTCTATATAGTCATCAGATCCGTTGATGTATTGAGATCAAGGAAATATAATTTCAGGGGCAAATAGATAATTTATATTCTCACGGGGCAGAAGAGGACTCCCAGAGTTTGCAAGCCCAAATAATCCGCTTATATTACAATTTTACTTAAGATACAGTTGAAACTTTCAACATCACTCATGGAT